ACCCAGATGGAGCACAACCTCCTGCTGGAATCCTGAGGTCTTGGAAGCTCTTCCTGGGACTCCTCAAGATGAGCTGGGAACTTCTTCAGCTCCCCTCCTCAGTATTTTTGCCCATTTTTTTCAAGGAGTAATCAGGATACCCCAAAACTGGATTTCTCTTTTGTTAAAATTTTTGAAAATTATAAATAATCTGTAGCTGTATAGCTGTATGATTCTATTACAAAGAATTTAGCTACTTTCTCTGTCCATGGTACCATCTGAAACAGGAAGTATGGTCTTACATAAATTTCTTGCTAATACTCAGCCAAGAACCAGTTCCACAGGTGACATGTCAAATCCCATACACTTCCAACTCCCTTTCTGGCCTTCCTTTTCATCTTCATGTCTCTTTTTTTAAAATATTTATTTTTTTCTTTGTTGATTTTCTTAAAAAATATATATTTATTTATTTAAAAGGCAGAGTGAATACAGAAAGAGGGAGAAACAGATAGAGATTTCCTCCATCCACTGTTTACTCCCCAAATGGCTGCCAACAGTGAGTGCTGGGTGAGGCTGAGGCCAGGAACCCAGAACTCCATGCAGACCTCTCATTTGGATGGCAGGGGCCTAAGCATTCAAGCCATACCTGCTACCTCCCAACACATTAGCAGGCAGCTGGTTTGGAAGTGCAGAGCTAGGACTGGAATTAGCATTCCACTGTGTCATAATACCAGCCCTTCCCATCATTTGGTTCTTTACAAAGTCAACATTAAAACTTAACATCTGCACCACAGATGCAAGTTGATGGAAAATTATTTGTTTATAGTAAAATAAGATACAACAGAAATCAGGTATGTATCATCCCCAACTTCACGACATGGTTCAAAATTCAAATTCAGAATATCTTCCCCAATTTAATCTCACCCCCCTCTGAGCACTTTTTTACTTTGTATTCTGTCAGTGACACACATTAATGGCATGTATCTTCTCAAATACAAATCAAGCCAATCTCCACTTGGCTGATTTTCTGAGGCACAGCCATACATCAGACCTCCTCAGATGGAAACGCTCCACTTTTTATGGCCTAAACCGAGTTCCCTAAGCAGAATTTCCTACATTTTGGGCTCTCACATCTTCACTTTTGTTAATGCAGGATCAGTGGTTTCTGGAGGGAGCTAAAGATACCACCTGAAGGGCAGAGGTTGACCTCGCCTGGGGCTCTGTTAGGGGCAGAGCAGGCAGATCTCCGGTAGGTCTCCGCAGTTCAGAACAGGGTTCTCAGCTCACAGACCTGGGTTTGTCCTTCCAATGCACCACAGGAGAGCAGGCTCAGACAGCCCCATTCAAAAGATACTGATGCATAAACCAGACTTCCACCTAGCAATTAACCATGAGAAATGGGCCGTGTAAAGGATCACACTGCCTAGCTGGCAATTTACATGTGAAGTCGCACAACAACCTGCAATTTGTTCAGGAGGCCTGCAGTCATAGCAGGAAGATCCTGTAAGATCAACGATTCTTAAATAATGGTGCCTGGCCTGGAACCAGACCAGCTGGTAAAAATCAACTGGGGGCCGGCGCCGCGGCTCACTAGGCTAATCCTCCGCCTTGCGGCGCCGGCACACCAGGTTCTAGTCCCAGTCGGGGCACCAGATTCTTTCCCGGTTGCCCCTCTTCCAGGCCAGCTCTCTGCTGTGGCCCGGGAGTGCAGTGGAGGATGCCCCCAGTGCTTGGGCCCTGCACCCCATGGGAGACCAGGAGAAGCACCTGGCTCCTGCCTTCGGATCAGTGAGGTGCGCCGGCCGCAGCGCGCTAGCTGCGGCGGCCATTGGAGGGTGAACCAATGGCAAAAGGAAGACCTTTCTCTCTGTCTCTCTCTCTCTCACTATCCACTCTGTCAAAAAAAAAAAAAAAAATCAACTGGGAAATTTGTTAAACAGTGATTTCGGGGTCCCACCTCAGACCTCTCAGGAATACAATTTTCACAGGGCCAAGAGATCTGTATTTTTAACAAGTACTCTATGTGATCCTACCACCCTACTAGGTTTGAAAACCATTGTATTAGAAAGTCTTAATGATGGAATTTATCTCACTCTTTAAAAACTATTTTTATTTATTTATTTGAGAGACAGATACAGAGAGAGCTCTTATCCACTGGCCCACGCCCCAGTTGCCCACAATGGTCAGGGGAGCCAAAACCAAGAGCTGGGAATGCAATCCAGATCTCCCATGAGGAACAGCAACCCAACTACTTGAGCCATAACCACTCCCTCCCAGGTTCCACGTTAGCAGGAAGCTGGGAATCGGGAGCGGAAGCTGAAATCAAACCCAGGCAGTCCAATATGGGGCACAGTTGTCCTAACACCTTAACCACTAGGTCAAATGCCTGCCCCGGGCTCACTCTAATGCAGTACTTCTGTCTACCCAGAGTCTGGCTTACCAAGCAGATCAGCAAATGTGTTAAGCTGCAAAATTATAGATACATTGCCAGTTCGTGCTGACTTCTTTCCTACCTTGTATCTGGACTGTCCCTCAACTTCTAAAAGCAAAGAAGGCAGATACAACACAATCTACCAGATACCCCTTTGTGGATTAAATACCACTTTACTGTTATGCTTATCAGAGAGACTCTGGACAACTATGACAACAAAGTTTTTCCCCAACTGTCTAAGGCAGAGTTTACGCAATATCACTTTATCCCTTGAATTTATCTACCAAAAATCACATTTTAATTTGTAGTAAAAAATTATTAAGTGATCTATTACTGGAGTTGGCACTTTGGCACAATGGGGTAAGCTGCAGCCTATACTGCCAGAATCCCATATGGTCACTGGTTCCAGTCTTGACTGCTCCACTTCTGATGCAACTCCCTGCTACTGTACCTGGGAAAGCAGTGGAAGATGGCCCAAGTCCTAGGCCCCTGCACCCGTGTGTAAGATCCCAAAGAAGCTCCTGGCTCCTGGCTTCAGCCTGGCCTGGCTCAGCCCTGGCGGCTACAGCCATCTGGGGAGTGAACCAGCAGATGGAAAATCTCTGTGTGTCTCCTTCTCTCTATATAAAACTCTGCCTTTCAAATAAATGAATAAAATAAATCTTTAAAAATAAATAAATAAACAAATGGTCTACTACTTAATAGCCTCATCAGGTCCCTTTAAAATTTTGCAAAAGCAGGGGCAGGCTTTTAGCATAGTGGTTAAGACACAACTTGAGATGCCTGCATGCCAAATCAGAGTCCCAGGGTTTGAGTTCTGGCTCCACTTCTATAATCCAGCTTCCTGCTAATGTCACCCTGGGAGGCAGCAGATAATGGCTCAAGTTCTTGGGTCCCTGCCACCCACCTGGGTGACTGGAGTAAGTTCTGGCCTCCTGGCTTTGGACTGGCACAGCCCCAGGGGTTGTGAGCATGTAGGGAGTGAACCAGCAGATGGAAGATTTCTCTCTCTCTCTCTCTCTGTTTCAGCAGATGGAAGATTTCTCTGTGTTTCAAATATATTTTTTAATTACTTGAAAAAAATTGTGAAAGCAAAGATTGGGACTTGCACTACAGAAGATCTAAGAGCATTCACTACTTCAACAGACTGTCCCTTTGTGTGATACTCCAGAGGTTTTCTTCCACCCCCAAAGGTGTGTCTTAGTAAACTTAAGAAGACGGGAGAGAGGAATGTCTATTATAGAGGAAAAGGGCAGTTGTGAAAAACAGGGTATGAAAAGAGAAACCTTTAGGCCACAGGCCCATTCTCAAGCAGATCAGTCGTAGGCAAGCGTACAACTGAAGTCAAGGATCTAGAAACTGATTTCCATTTGTGTGCCCAAACACACACGTCACAGAAAGTCTGTCTGTATACCCCCTCCCCATACTCCCACCTGAGGCCTGCAGCATTCCGGGCAGAAAACAGGGGAGCAAGGTCTCAGTGGTCAGAGGTACAAGAGGAGCAGGACGAGGGAGAGACAGAGACTCTTCATTTGAGACCAGTGTAGCACGTGCAAGGTTAGGCCGTGGAAGGAGGAGGTAAACGAAGACGCACTGGCGTTTTGGCGTGGTGAGTAACGACGAGTGCTCACGCGTGCTAAGCAATCTGCAGGCATCTCCTTGAACGCTCACGTGCTCCTCACGGGACATGTGGCCAGGGAACGCGCATGCGAGGAGCCGTCAGCAAGCCCTCCCGACTTTGTCCAGCGCACTCTGCGCAGCACTGGAGCAAGCCAGGAATCTGGGGAGACCTGTGTGGTTGGAACTGTGAGCCAGGACATACGAGAGCTGAATGACGGAGTGAGATAGGGTGGCAAATGAAGGGGGCTGGGTGGGGCGAGGGGAATGGAAGCGAACAGAGGGAGGCACAATGGTTGAATTTGGTTTGTCCCTGCCAAAACTCACGTTGAAATTAAACTGCCAGCACAACAGTATCGAGAGGGGGTGGAGCCTCTGAGAAACGTTTGGTCACAGGGCTCTGCCCTCACGAAGGCCTGGTGAGGGTGGGTTAGCTCTGTGGGAATGGGCTGGTTTTGAAAGCGCAAGATGCTACAAAGTGGATGAGTCCCCTTTGTCCTTCCCCCTGCACTTGCTCACCTGCCCTTCGAGTTTCCCACCAGAAACTGAAGCAGCACGAAGCCCTAACAGCGCCATGTGCTTGAACATCCCAGCCTGCAGAACCACCAGCCAAAATGAACTTCTCTGCGATACACATTACTCAGTCGCAGGCATTTTGCTACAGCCACAGACACTTGACCGAGATGGGAGGCACAGAGGGTGAAGACCAGGGGAAGGCATTCCAGAAACTGGGAGTAAGCTTGACGGTGAACATCCAAATTTACAATACACTAAAAATCATATCCTTTGCAACTGTTAAAATTATGATGAGAAACAGAAACAGTTTTGGGTGTTCATTTATAAATACGAAAGGGTATACAATGCTTTCTGAAATTATTTCATGGGGTATTTGTGCAAAAATGTTTGCAGTGCCTCTGCTCTCTTAGGAAAGCTGACCTCCCCCAAGAGCTCCCAGGGTGCGTCCCGAGTTAACCTGGTCAGAAGAACTCCATCTTCCTCGCAAGTGACTGGCTGAGACAGCATGGATTCAGGAACACACACACGCCTTCATCTGGGCCAGTCCCTGCAGGTTTGCAGGGAGCTTCTGGGAACGGTTTCCCTCCACTCCAAGGGTGCCACAGGGACAGACAACGATGCACACGATCTCGCCACCAGATGATGGAACAAGGCAGGCAGACTTAAGAAAAGCAAGGGGAACAGGACCCGGCGCCGTGGGACCAAGTCAGTCCTGAAACCTACACCTCTGGACTTCCAATTATGACAGTTCCCAGATGCGCGGATTTTTAAGCCTGCTTGCGTAGAATTCTGAAACAAACGCTTTCCCTTCTGAAAGGCCAGGTCCCACCCCTTCCTCCACAGCCTGCACTAACACTGCAGAAAGACGGTTCTCTTGGTCCTGGGAACCAGCATTTTCCTGGGCTTTCCCCACCTCTCTGGATACCATAGTTATTACTTCACTTCCTGCGTATTGCTCCCCAAGGCCTACAGAATAAAGACTTCTCCACAGGGCTCGGGGCACCCTCACAAGCCGGTCATCCATGTCCGTTCCCTTCCCTATTTCCTGTCCCACGATCTCCATTCACTGCTGGAGGCTGCAGTTCAAACACATTCTATTCCTTAAAGTTTCTTTGAGGGGGCCAGCGCCGTGGCTCACTTGGTTAATCCTCCCCCTGCGGCACCGGCATCCCATATGGACACCGGGTTCTAGTCCCGGTTGCCCCTCTTCCAGTCCAGCTCTCTGCTGTGGCCCGGGAAGGCAGTGGAGGATAGCCCAAGTGCTTGGGCCCTGCACCGGCATGGGAGACCAGGAAGAAGCACCTGGCTCCTGGCTTCCGATTGGCGCAGCGCCGGCCGTAGCGGCCATTTGGGGAGTGAACCAACGGAAGGAAGACCTTTCTCTGTCTCTCTCTCACTGTCTATAACTCTACCTGTCCAAAAAAAAAAAAAAAGTTTCTTTGAGAATAAGTGAAGTTATTCCCACTCCCTGAAGTATCGATGACCAGCCCCGCCCTTAAACACCTTCAAGACCGGGCTCAAGCCTGGACAACCCTTTCCACCTGCAGCCCATGAGCTAAGTGACCTTCTGCTCATCTTGGCTTTCCTGGCGACTAAGCGCATTTGACACAGCTGGTGAATGTTCAGTGACTAGGTCTAAGTGTCCGATCTATATAACAAATCTGCAATACTCTTAAAGGCTAACTGGGTATTTCCTTCACCTCTGTGTCTAAAGAGCTCAGGACACTGACATACAGCTGGTTCCAAAACCCACTGTGCATGCTATTTAATTTGAAGCGCTGCTAGCCGCCTCTCGTCTGTCCTGCCTCGGTTCCCGCAGCCAAGTGGGCAATACGAACTCTACACTCAAACCCTCCTCTTCTTCATAACTAACTCTCATCAGCCGACAGCCTGCCTGTAAGCACAGGGCACACTCTGCCCTGGGGGTCTCGCGTTCTTGACGCTGCCCGCCATTTCTTCCCACATGTTAACTTGGCAGTCAATGTCAGAGAAAACCACCATAGCCATCGGCCTGGAGGTCGGGACCAAGGCAGGTGTCCCCTCCTCTCCGTTCCCTGAGGCTGACAGACGCCAGCGCCGGGCACCGATCCTGGCAGTGGGGGAAATGGAGGCCCTGGGGGGGACCCTAAACTCCAAGGTCACACAGCGAACCGGGGTCAGGAACGGGCCTTGGAGGTGCGGTTTCGGCCCAGCTCGCGGGCTGGGGAGTCGGGAGCCCCGAGCCTTCCCCCCGCCCCCCGGCCGTGACGGAATGAGAGCTCACCGCAGGCCGCTACCGCCCCCACGCTCACCCGGCTCGGGCTCCCGGGGCCGCTCGGCCGCTCGTGTGGCTCCCGCAGCTGTTGTCTCGGTGTCACGGGCGACGGGCATCGGCCACTTCCGGTACCCGGGCGGCACTCCAGCCAATCAGCGCGCGCCGCACGCGGCCGGAGGAACAGGTGGTCAGCGCGCCGCCGCCGCCCCGTCCCTTTGCCAGCTTTGCCTTTCGCCGGTGCTCGCCCTGACCCAAGCCCCACCTCGCCGCCGCCTCACGAGCGAGCTCCCTGGACTGACCCTGTGCACCAGGCGACGCCCACTTCGGCCCTGGGATCACTGACGAGCCGGGTCCTCCCGCTTTCCTAGAACGGCTCCCGGGATGCACTTCCGCCCCGTGAGCGGCCGCTCTGCGCGCTGGTGTCGCTCCCCACGCATGGATCCGGGCTGCGCGGGTGGGGGACTCCTGGGACCGTGTTCGCCTTCTCTTTGAGGCGCGCAGCCTGCAAAGCTCTTATGCCCTCCCTCTTCTGAGTCCCGTGGGATGCTGAGGCACAGGCCATTCACCTGCCAAGAGCGAGTGGGGACCTGTCTTAAGGGAGCGATGCTTGGGCTGCAGTCTGAGGGTTGAGCCGGGCTTCGCTGGGTTAAGAACGAGAGGAGAGCGCTTCAGGCACTGGGAAGGGCGCGCTCCGCCCTTCGCCTTATCCTCATTGAACGAGCGTGGTGTGCTCTCTCCGCAGAACCCTGTCACTTGTTAAACTTCCTCCATAGCTGTGCACGGCCAGCACCGCTGTGCCGAGGAGGGTGTAGCCTGGAGCCTAGCACCCGTCCTCAATGTCGGGAAGCGGGTGGTGCGATTTGCTCAGCCTGGGTCTTCTGCCTGCAAGTCATGTTGAGGGCAGGCTTCTGTGTTTGCCTGACCACCGGTCATAATCCTGTGAAACAAGGAAGAGAGTGCCGGCCCTTAAAACGCGGGTGTTGTGCATACATCCAGGACAGAAGCTGGAAAGGGAAGGTCTCACTTGAGTTCATCATTGGAGTTAGGCGCTGGACTCCAGTGCCCAGGGCTTCGGCCACTGTCACACCAATATCCCAAACGATCTTGCCTGGGAGGTGTTAACCCTGACTCAGCCATAATGTCTGTTTTGCTTGGCCAGGCTAAAGGTGAGTGGGGAAAAAAATTACACGTTTTGGAGAAGAGGCCTAAGACAGTGTTATGGTCTCTGCTTTTCACAGGTTTCTGACTTGTGCTCAGAAGTCATTTTCTTCTTTTTCTGTCACTTGTCTGTTGTTTTCCATGGTTGCTATTTCAGTTTTCGTCACTCTGTTCAAACTTTTCTCTTACCCATGATCCAAGAGGAATCAGTTACTATCCAGTCATTGCCAGCTAAGTTCACCCCAAGGAAAGACGCCTGGACCACAAAAGCATTCCAAGTGTGAAAGGACCAAGTGTGGAAGACATTTGGTTCTTCTTTTTCTTTGTTTTTAATGTATTTATATGAAAGGCAGAGTGACAGAGAGAAGGGGAGACAGAGAAAGAGGTCTTCAATCGCTGGTTCACTTCCCAAATTGTCAGAACGGCCAAGGCTGGGCCAGGCTGAAGCCAGGAGCCTGGAACTCCATCCAGGTCTGCCACACGGATGGCAGGGACCCAAGCACTCTGCTTTCCCAGGAACATTAGTGGAGAGCTGGATTGGAAGTGGAACAGTGAGGACTCAATCTGACTCTGATGTGGGATTATGGAATGCTAATGTTGCAGGAGGTGGCTTAACCCACTGCACCACAACACCAGCCTCTATACGGACTTTTTTTTTTGATATTTACTTATTTATTTGAGAGGCAGAGTTACAGAGGGAGAGACATAGAAAAAGGTCTTTAAAAAAAAGATGTATTTATTTATTTACTTGAAAGAGTTACAGAGAGGCAGAGGCAAAGAGAGAGAGAGAAGTCTTCCATCCACTGGTTCACTCCCCAGATGGCCTCAAGGGCCAGAGCTTGGTCAATCTGAAGCCAGGAGCTTCTTCCAGGTTTCCCATGTAGGTGCAGGGGCCCAAGTATAACTTGGGCCATTCTCTATTGCTTTCTCAAGCCATAGCAGAGAGCTGGATCAGAAGTGGAGCATCCGAGATTGGCACAGCGCGCCGGCTGCAACATGCCTGCCATGGTGGCCACTTGGAGGGTGAACCAATGGAAAAAGGAAGACCTTTCTCTCTGTCTCTCTCTCACTAACTCTGTCAAAAAAAAAAAAAAAAAAGTGGAGCATCCAGGACTCGAACCAGTGCCCACATGGAATGCCAGCATTGTAAGTGGCAACTTTACCTGCTGCGCCACAGCACTGGTCCCTCTATGTTGACTTTATCTAGCACACTTGCACTAGTGAGTATTTGCCCAGGTCAGTGATTCTCAACCTTGTCTGCACGTTGGACTTTCCAGGAAATCTTTGAAAACACTAACATCTGATTCCACCCAGATAGGTTCTGTTGAATTTGCTCTGAGATACAATCAGGCTATGCAGTTTTGTTTTGTCTTTAACTCTCCAGGTCATTCTAACATTCAGCCAAAGTTGAAAAGCAACAGCACGGGTCAGTGGTCTTCAAGTATGTTCTCTGAACCAGCAGTGTTAGCATCACCTGGGAACTTGTTAGAAATGCAGTCTCGGGCCCCACCCACAGATCTCTCAAATCCAGTTAGAGCTCAGCAAATTGTGTTTCAACCCTTCAGGGTTCCGATGCATACTGAAGTCTGGGAGTCACTGGCCCGGGCACTGACAGTGCTTCATTTGATCATCCCTTGGATTCGGGATGTCTCCTCCCAGCTGTTGCCTTGCCAACCATCTGTGTTATTGCACTAACCAATCCAGGAGCCATCTGGTGCAATGGGAGAGAGATCAAGCCATATGTTCCACAAATGCTACTCCCATTTCCAACGCATAAGAGAACGTGTGTGTCTGAACAGGAGCTGATGTTGCAGGGCCAGTGAATAGGCTTGAGACAGCCAGAGAACTGAGTTTGTAGCTAAGTATGAGCAGTTTTGTTCCTCTAGAAAAACTGGTAGGTGGGAACCTGGACACCTCCGGAATTCACACAGGACAATAAAAGACACAGTGCTCTTGTTCATCCTTGTCCTTTCTATTTCTGGAAGGTGTGGGAAGGAGGGCTCCAAGTACTGGCAGCACTCTTTAAAAAAAAATAGTTATTAGACAGACAGAGCTTCCATCTGCTGATTCATTGCCCAAAGCAGTGTGGGGGAAGGGGAGGAACTCAGTCTGGGTCTCTCACATGGGTAACGCGAACCCAACTGTGACCTATCACCACTACCTCCCAAGGTACACAATTAGCAAGAAACTGGAGCCAGGATCCAGAACTAGGACTTGAATCCAGGCACTCTGATATGGGATACGGGCATCTTAATCTCTAAACACCCACCTCTGTACTCCCTTCTTGTACTTTAAAACTACATTGTCTCGGCCAGCGCCGCGGCTCTATTGGCTAATCCTCCACCTGCGGTGCCGGCACACCAGGTTCTAGTCCCGGTTGGGGTGCTGGATTCTGTCCTGGTTGCCCCTCTTCCAGGCCAGCTCTCTGCTGTGGCCAGGGAGTGCAGTGGAGGATGGCCCAAGTCCTTGGGCCCTGCACCCACATGGGAGACCAGGAGAAGCTCCTGGCTCCTGGCTTCGGATCAGCGCGGTGTGCCGGCCACAGCGGCCATTGGAGGGTGAACAAATGGTAAAGGAAGACCTTTCTCTCTGTCCCTGTCTCTCTCTGTCTCTCTCTCTCTCTCTCTCTCTCACTGTCCATTCTGCCTGTCCAAAAAAAAAAAAAAAAAAAAAAAAAAAAAAACCTACATTGTCTCTCAAATTACTTTATGACTCTGATTTGAGCCTGCCTAGTTGCTGTTCATAATTGTATTTTCAGTTGTCTGTGGGCCACATTCCAAGTATTATTGGGCCGTGAGTATCTACAATCAGTGTCCTCAGAATTCACAAGTATTGTTAAGTGTAAGCCATGACTAGGATTCTCGAAGGAAGGACTAAGAGGTTTGCACCCACCTCATGAACCTTCAGGTCTCTCCGAGTCCCTTCTCCAACAGACATATAACTTGGGTCTGGGCCAGTCTAACACATGGACTTGAATAATAACCTAACACTGGCTTGGATAGCTTTCCCCTGCTGTTTACCACATTCTCCCCACACCCACTCACTTACTAGCATTACCTCTTTCCCTCCCCTGCCTGCCTTCTTTAAAAAAAAAAAAAAAAAAAGATTTATTTATTTATCTATTTAAGAAGCAGAGTTACAGACAGAAAGGGGCAGAGAGAGAGAGAGAGAGAGAGGGAGAGGTCTTCCATCCACTGGTTCACTCCCCAAATGGCTGTAACGGCTGGAGCTGAGCCGATCCGAAGCCAGGAGCCAGGAGCTTCTTGCAGGTTTCCTAAGTGGGTTCAGGGGCCCAAGCACTTGGGCCATTCTTCCACTGCTTTCTCAGGCTATAGCAGAGAGCTGAATCAGAAGAGGAGTAGCCAGGACATGAACCGGTGCCCATATGAGATGCCAATGCTGCAGGCAGAGGCTTAGCCTACTATGCCATGGCGCCACCTTCTTTCACAGAACATTCCACACACCCAGAGTTTTCACTCCCTGTGACACAGATGCATCTTGCCATATGTGACTTAACCATTTCCTGAGGACAGACAGCTCCCCTTGAGGGCCAGGACTGCATTATGTGCCTCCAGAGGGTCCTGTCCAATGGAGACTTGCTGAACTAAAACACTCACATCTTACCTCCGTGCACCCATGCAACTGGCCAACGCTGAATTAAGGCTCAAGTCCTCAGTTCCTCCTCACACCTGCAGCTGTGAAGATGCAAGGAAATAGAACAAGGGAGGCAATTTCCTACTTGAGAACGGACAATTGTACCAAGGAAGCCAGAGCGACAATTCAAAGCCTAAACCAGTAAGGTCATAATTTTTACTCTGCTTCAACGGCAGATCCTTCTTAG